GAAGTCACCTAAACATGACGGCATTGTCATCAACCTACCACGTCTCCCACCTGCTCTAAGAGCCCATTTAGTTTTTCTGACAGTCCCTGACCCTCCTGACAGGTCCCTCTGTGTTTCTCCAGCCTCTATTAAGATGGTATATAAGCCCCATATGCCAACGGCCACTGTGAATCACATTTTTTTTCTGTGACCTGCCACATCCATTAGTGAATAAAAATCTGTCTTGTCTCGTACTTGGGCCTTTTGTTGGTTTAATTTACAGGCACCCAATACGGAACCTAAGAGAGAGTATAGGAAACGTTTTTCCTCCCTGATGGGAATTTGGAAAACAATCTCGTTCGTGGAAACTCCAAGGAAATCAAGTGTAATAGGTAGGTTCCATAATAGAAGACATAAAAGGGTAGTAACAGAAGATAATATTCAAGATAGTTGACTTTTTTTTTTTTTTAATGCCATAAGGGAGGGCTTGGTAAACCATGTTGCAGGAGACATTAAGTAATCCTGAAACCGCTGTATTTTGCTCAGTGATTATGAGAGACAGGAGGACCAAGAAGTCATGAGGCCTGGCCAGCAATGGTGGACTCTGCTGGGTCCCTGAGGGCCCTGGGGGAGGCAGGCCACAAGGGCACCGTGACAGTCCTCACCCGCAGAAGCTGCTGCAGCACGGCTGTGCCCGTACCGGGGTGCTGGGAGTGGGAGGCTACCTCAGCAACATGCCCTCATGCAAAAGACAGAGGGCCCCGCACAGCTCCCCTGGCCACCGACCTAACCTCAAATCTGACCCAGCAATGCACGTGCTGGCTTCCCATGGTTCTGGGAGGTAAAGACGTTCTTCACAGAGAGCCAAAGATGGCAGGAGCCCTCTGACAGCCCACGCCTGTGTGCAGAGCGTGGGGACAGAGACGGTGTATGGTAAAAAGAGGGACTGAGAGGAGTCCCTAAAGGAACATGTTTCTTTGTGAAGAGATCAGGAACAATGGATTAGCTGCCCTTTTCCTACACTGGGAGCTCAGTTCCGGTGATTCCTTTTGTCACTGAGAGGACGGTCTCAGTTCAGCTGGGGGACGTTACGCAGTAAGAACTCACCAACCATAATGTGTTTACCATTCCTTTTTTTTTTTTTTAGTCTTTAGGTATAGAAACGCTTAATGTGCAGACCTTTGTTGAAAAGAAAGTATATGAGGAATAAAACAAAAACCACCCTGGAACTCAGTTCTTAACATTGGCACGAAAACTAAAATATGCAAAGTAATCACGACTACGCTTCTTGGAACTGATTTGGGGATTGACTCGTAATAAGGGTCAACCCAGGCAATCCCGAGTCCGTGGCGCCATCCTCCTTTCCATTTTGCGCCAGACACGCGCACAGCCGGGGGCAGGGAACTTGAACTGGGAGCTCACACTGTCCGAGGACCTAGGGGTGACTCCCGGCTTGTCTCCCTCGACCCGCCTCACGGTGTGGGGCTGGCCGCTCCGTCTGTAAGGCTGCAGGAGCGCGTGTGCTGCGGGAACCAGAGTGCAGGTGACCACGCCCCACGGGGTCTCGACCGTCGGGCCGGCTCCCACCCGCTGCACGCCTCCTTGGCACACGGCAGGCACTCAGTGAGGACTCGTCAGTGCTGATGACGGGTTGGGGGCACCTTCTGAGATGGGACCATTTTTGCTTCCCTTTAGCACAAACGAATGACACATGCGTAGTTCAGAAATAATCATTTCCGTGAGAGCGTGTTTCATGCCAGCTCTGTGGGCATTTTCTCCCAGTAAAATGGTAAGTAACATGTTAGCATAATCTCTCCCTTTGACACCGCTTGTTTCTTCCTCCTTCCTATTAGTACCGCCGCACCTAATTAATTGGATGACACCCACGGCATAATGAATTCCCACTGGCGACGGTGAGTCTCTCCAGCGACTTAGGGATCACAGGAAATGCCCTTGAACGTGGCAGGCACGCAGCTGCCACGGGCAGGCGCTGCCTCGAAGAGCAAGCAGCGGGACGTGTTCGAAGAACCTTTTCCTATTCCAACAACCCTCTTTGCAAGTGCTTTGCGTACGAGGCAGGAGAAACAGCCCGAGTACCAAGTTAAGGCTCTGCCCCCAACAAGGGGCCTGTCCCAATCTCCCTGCAGTGTTAGCACGCGCAGGTCACCCGACGAGAAAGCCCCAAAGCCTGGACACTCTTTGCCTAAGAAATATGGCAAGAAAGGTTGCGTTTCTGCGAGACAAACACACGCGTCAATAAACGCGGATTAGCGACAAGGGTCATGCCCAGCACAGTTTACGAGCTAAACTGCCGTGAAGATATGCAAGTGCTCATGTTCCTCTGACAGGTCTGAAAGAAATAATGTTGGGAGAAGAACACGGACAGAGGCCAACTATACGGAGCCCTGGGTTCACACAGCCGCGGCGTCCCCGCTCTCCATGGTATCGCCGCGAACGTTTTCCTGCAAAGCAAGCAGGATAGCGTGCGTGCACCTTCCCTAGAAACCCTGTTTCCCCACCCACGGTCAAACGTGGAAATGCCACGTTTCCACGGATACCCTGGCTTGCGAAGGAGGGACAGCGATCGCGGGAAGACACGGAGCTCCTCTATCCCGCTCACGGCCTCCACCGCACCAGCGGCTCCGCGGAGGGCCAGTATCCTGGGGAGCTCCCATCAGCTCTGCAGACCCCACCGAAAGCAGGGGCCGCAGACTCTGAGCGGCTCTGTGAACCCGTCTGTCCAGCACACGTGGAGCTTCACGTCACTTGTGAATCAACAGCCACGTATGCCCGACTAGGCAAGGGGCTCTTCTCACGGAGGGACGCGATCCTCTGAAGGTACAGACCCTCAAGAAAGCGAGGTTCTTGGGGAAAAGAAGACACGGCCGTGGAATTTGTGGGATGCCAAGCACGCAGGCGTCTCGATGCCCTGAGACATGAAGCAGACACAGGCTGTGCCCCGGGTGTGTACCACCAGCCCTGCAAGGGGTCCCTCTTTCTGTCCCTGGCTTCGGGACCCGGCCACTGTGGGCTCGCCCCATCACAGAACCATCGAGCTGGACTCAGTGATGAGATCTGAACCCGCCCGCGTCCATGTAAGAGGCGCACGTACCTCACTGTGGCCGGGTCCACAGTACGTGAGCCCTGACTCACTCATAAGTACTGTCTTCACAGGTCAAGCTAGGAAGCGGAACCGGAGCCCAACAAAACACAACACAACACACACGGTACGGACCGCGGAAACGTGCCCCAGTCCCTTAGCTTCAGTACAGGCAGGCTGTGAGTCCTTCTTGGCATTGGAATAGCACCTGGGATTCCTGTCAGAAAAGGGCCTGCCTCCATCTCGGGCTCCCTGGTGACTGAGAAAAGAACGACCATGAAGTGTTCTTCCCTGAAGTGACAAAGTGAGGAGCCAACTCCGACCCAACGTCCCACAACCAGGAACCAACAGAAACACTGTCACCTGAGCAGTGTTCTCCCTGCCGCGAGCACGCAAACAAGACAAACCAGCCTCTCAATCAGTCCCCACGTCCTTCTGGAACCTGCAGGGGCGCACAGTCAGACCTCAGCCCGCCCCCTCCCCACACCGTCTCCTGTGTTCTAGAACCTGCAGGGGCGCACAGTCAGACCTCAGCCCACCCCCTCCACCTCCACACTGTTTCCTGTGTTCTAGAATCTGTACGGGCGCACAGTCAGACCTCAGCCCGCCCCCTCCCCACACCGTCTCCCGTGTTCTAGAACCTGCAGGGGCGCACAGTCAGACCTCAGCCCGCGCCCTCCACCTCCACACCGTCTCCTGTGTTCTAGAATCTGTACCGGCACAGTCAGACCTCAGTCCGCCCCCTCTCCACACCGTCTCCCGTGTTCTAGGATCTGCAGGGGCGCACAGTCAGACCTCAGCCCGCCCCCTCTCAACACCATCTCTTGTGTTCTAGAATCTGTACAGGCACACAGTCACACCTTAGTCCGCCCCCTCCCCACACCGTCTCCAGTGTTCTAGAATTTGTACGGGCGCACAGTGAGACCTCAGCCCGCCCCCTCTCCACACCGTCTCCCGTGTTCTAGGATCTGCAGGGGCGCACAGTCAGACCTCAGCCCGCCCCCTCCCCCTCCACACCGTCTCCCGTGTTCTAGAATCTGTATGGGCACACAGTCACACCTCAGTCCGCCCCCTCCCCACACCGTCTCCAGTGCTCTAGAATTTGTACGGGTGCACAGTCAGACCTCAGCCAGCCCCCTCCACCTCCACACCATCTCCTGTGTTCTAGAATCTGTACGGGTGCACAGTCAGACCTCAGCCCGCCCCCTCCGCACACCGTCTCCCGTGTTCTGGAACCTGCAGGGGCGCACAGGGAGGCTCAGCTCTCCCTCCCAACAGGAACGGTGCAGGGAGGAGAATCTGAGGCAGAGCTGCAGCCACACTGTGCACCAGCTGGACACGTGCTTCCCGGTGGCTGACACCGCGCCCCATCTCCACTGTGCGCCCTGCATGGTGAAGTACTGTGCACAGGCCGGGGAGAGGGCCCTGGACCACCAACCGCACCTGTGCCCTCCGCCTGCAGACAAACAGAAGCCTGGAAAGGTCACCACAAAACCCAAGGTCACTGTGAGTAGACACCCTGCAGGAACAAACCCTCCGGGACAAGCACCTGTGGGGGCGGAGCGGGGGTTGCTGTGAGCGCCCGAGTCCCCTCGCTGTCGCAACCAGCACGCTCCCCGAAGGCTGCTCCTGGCCAGTCCGGATGCGGTCCTGCCCCATCCGCAGAGTCCCCTTCCCTGCAGCGCGTCCACCGGGCTGCCCCACACAAGCTGTCTAACGTCCCGTCCGCGCAAGCGGGATCACTGGCCTGCTGACCCCTCCCGCCAAGCTGACGGGATCCGATCGTGTCCCCGTCCCTGGGCCGCCCCCCAGCCCCGCTCTCCCAGTGGCTGTCCCACCGCGGACACGAGGTGCTCCAGTCGTGGACAAACCCTGCTCAGGGGCTGCACCGAGCCACGTCCCGCCTCACTGGGGGCCGTACCTTGTCCACGGGAGGCGGAGGAGAAAACCTCTTCGCACAGGCTAGGAAGATGTCAGGCTCCGGTTTCCCCTTCTTCACCTCGGGGTCGTCGCCCAAAACAATGTGGTCAAACAAGTTGAAGAGCTCCCGGTGTTGGCGGGTCTTCATCTCAAAGGACGCGCAGCCGGAGCTGGTGGCCACGGCCACGCGCACGCCATGCTCTCGCAGGTGGTGGATCAGCTTCTCCACGCCTGGGGAGGAGGACAAGGGAGAGCCTTCAGCGTCAGCGAGGAGGAAGAGGGCAGGGCCATACCCCCGACCCTCCGGGGACGTGGTGCCCGCTCTGGGACCTTGACTCTTGGCTGCCCGTTCCGAGGGACCATCTGACAGGACACGGACTGTCTGAACGGGGTTCAGGGCGCTGCAGCACACCTACTCAAACCAAACCTCAGAAAGCCATTCAGGGCTTCGCTACTCCATCTCCCAAAGTAACCGAAGGCGGTTGTACCGGAAAGCAACACCGCGTTGTCTGCCGGTCCCCTTTTGTGGAAAGGTGGAAACCAGGCCGAGTGAGCCCAGGGAGGCACCTGTGCACCTGGTGAACAAGGTTTTGTTTTGTTTCCTAAAGCAGTAAATTGGCAATGATTATGCTGCTGGTACTTTCGGAGAACACCGTGTGCTACTGAAGGCATTTCAGTCATCCGTCATACAGCTGCGGAGAGGGAACCCCGAAAGGGCTCCTTCCGGAGGCCCAGGACCAGGGCCGGAGCTGAAGGAAAGCCGTAGGGCTACCCCATAAGGCCACGGAGGAGGAAACACCGCGGAGCCACAGCAGGAGGGCACGACAGGGCAGGACGCTTGCCGCACTCTCAGCAGCGGCGAGCCTCCCGTGCGGGGCCGCGGGGCCGCATACCATCGGAGAGAGCGCTGGTTATCAGACACGTGTCCGACACAGCAGTACTGGCCACCTGGAAACCTTTGCTGAGTGTGCCGGGAGCGTCGACACCCACACACAGCACTAATGACCTGAGACAGTCTCTTAAACAGTCGTGTAATCATTACTGTTGGAGGAAGTGCACGAGGCCATGTCCCTACTTCCTTGATTGCTAGAGAAAAGACGGGCACACCCATTTCTTGTTCACACGCCTAAAGCAAACACTGTGAGTGCCTGACCTTTAAGAGAAATGCTTCCTTCAAAGGAAGGTGTGGATCTTAACTCGGCACCAGGACGACATTAAAACTTTTTTAAAAAGAAAGTGAAACCCAGCACTGTGCTGGACGTGAAACTCGCCATGTCTGACGTCCAGTCAAGCCTCCACGCCTCCGCAGGGCAGACAAACACAGCGCACGGCCAGGAGGAAACACCCATCAACAGAAATGAATACAGACATGGCCGAGACAAAGGAATTAGCAGATCTGGACCTTCTGGAAGCTTTAAAAACATCACTAATATGGCTATGTTAGAGACTATCAGAATGGGAAAAAAAAAAGTGATAGTCTATTACATACTCTCTACCAAAAACTGAAATGTAATTTTCGGGCAAGTTAAAAATAAATGGATATTTATGTATATAAATAAAACCCATGTATTTTGTAACTACTATCAAAAGCAGGGTTAGCTATATGAATAGCAAAAAAGTATGCTTTAAAACACGGAATGATGGGGCGCTTGGGTGGCTATGTGTGTTAAGGGTCTGCCTTCAGCTCAGGTCATGATCCGAGGGTCCTGGGACTGAGCCCCGCATTGGGCTCCCTGCTCAGCGGGAAGCCTGCTTCTCCCTCTCCCATCACCCCCCTGCCTGTGTCCTGTCTCTCACTGTCTCTCTGTCAAATAAAAATTACAAAATCTTTAAAAAAAAAGAAGAACAAGGCATGACAAGTCTCAGAGATAACTAAGTACACTTCACAAGGACACGTGGGTCAACGGATCAACAAGACGTCATTCTAAATGTGTATGCATCGGGTAACACAGCTGCAAAACACGTAAAGCAAAAACTAATACACTGACTGGAGAAACAGACCCAGGTTTCAAACTCCCGTCACTAACTGATAAAACAAGTAGACAGAAAGGAGGGTACAGCAGACTTCAAAAACACTACCGGGCAACGTAACTGAATTGACGTTTATGTAACACTTCACCCAAAACAGCGGAATAGAAATGATTTTCGAGTGCACCTAGAACATTCAATAAGATAGAATGTTGAGTCCATAAGCTATGAAAAATTCTAAAATGTTTTACAATAATTGAAATCATTCAAAATATGTGCCCTGACCATGAAAGAATTAAAATAGTTATCGATAACCGAAAGGTAGGTGGGAAGAAGTATTTGGACATTAAGCAACACATTCCTATGTAAGACAGGAGTCAAAGATGGAGTGACAAAGGGAAATTAGATAAACTGTGGTAGAGAACAAAAAGTGAACACATCAAAATTTGTGGGAAGTGGATAAAACATTGTTTAGAGGAAAAGTGATGGCACTAAAGGCTTATACTACCGAAGAAGATGATCTAAAACCAGCAATCTAAGTTGTCCCATTAAAAAAACTAGAAGAGAGGTGCCTGGGTGGCTCAGTGGGTTAAGCCTCTGCCTTCGGCTCAGGACATGATCTCAGGGTCCTGGGATCGAGCCCCGCATCGGGCTCTCTGCTCAGTGGGGAGTCTGCTTCCCCCCCACCCCGCGCCTTCTTCTCTGCCTACCTGTGATCTCTGTCTGTCAAATAAATAAAAAAGTAAATAATATTTTTTAAAGATTAAAAAAAAAAGTAAAAGAAAAAAGGAGGAAGATCGAAATTTACCAGCGCTAGTAATCAAACAAAAGACATTACCACAGATGCTTAAATCCATCAAAAGGATTAAAAAGTATGAAACAAACCATGAGAGACTGTGGACTCTGAGAAGCAAACTGAGGGTTTTGGAGAGGAGGAGGTAGGGGGATGGGGGAGCCTGGTGGTGGGTGTTAAGGAGGGCACGGATCACATGAGGCACTGGGTGGGGTGCATACACAGTGAATCTTGGAACCCTGAGAAAAATAAAATTAAATTAAAAAAAATGTGATCATGAGCAAATGCATGCCAATACCTTTAACAGCTTAGATAAAACGGACAGACTCTTTGAAAGACACAAAGCTCACTCAAAAAGACAGTAATAATTGAACAGCCCTACACCTCCTAGAGAATTTGTAGTTAAGAAACCTTTTTCCTATCCAGGATGGGATGGCCTCATTGGTGAACTCAGAACTACCATTTGAGAAAGAAACAACACCAATTCTGAGCAAGCTTTCCGGAAAATAGGAGTGAAGGTGTTCTCGCTCATTCTTGATACCAATGCTTCTCTGCTACCAGAGCTGAACAGAAGCCAGAGGAGAAAACCACAGAGAGGTGCGTCTCGCACTAACACCCTCCCACTTAAGAACACTTCCAGCCAGTGCTAGTCTTCCGCATAATTCAATCAGTTTCCATGTCCTTGGAATGCACAACGGAAAGGAGGCCAAAACACTGGATTCGTTTGCAACGACCACTGATGAGTATCACGGATTCCATCTATGAGCTACATTTCCGTTAAGAACCTTTACTTCTGCAAAGAAGACATCCAGATGGCCAAGAGACACATGAAAAAGTGCTCCATATCACTCGGCATCAGGGAAATACAAATCAAAACCACAATGAGATCCCACCTCACACCAGTCAGAATGGCTAAAATTACAAGTCAGGAAATGACAGATGCTGGCGAGGATGCGGAGAAAGGGGAACCCTCCTACACTGTTGGTGGGAATGCAAGCTGGTGCAACCACTCTGGGAAACAGCGTGGAGGTTCCTCAAAATGTTGAAAATAGAGCTACCCTATGACCCAGCAATTGCACTGCTGGGTATTTACCCTAAAGATACAAACGTAGTGATCCGAAGGGGCACGTGCTCCTGAATGTTTAGAGCAGCAATGTCTACAATAGCCAAACTATGGAAAGAACCTAGATGTCCATCAACAGACGAATGGATAAAGAAGATGTGGGATATATACACAATGGAATACTATGCAGCCATCAAAAGAAATGACATCTTGCCATTTGCGACGACGTGGATGGAACTAGAGGGTATCATGCTTAGCGAAATAAGTCAATCGGAGAAAGACAACTATCATATGATCTCCCTGATATGAGGAAGTGGAGATGCAACATGGGGGGTTAAGGGGGTAGGAGAAGAGTAAATGAAACAAGATGGGATTGGGAGGGAGACAAACCATAAGTGACTCTTAATCTCACAAAACAAACTGAGGGCTGCTGGGGGGAGGGGGGTTGGGGGGTGGGGTGGGGTTATGGACATTGGGGAGGGTAAGTGCTGTGGTGAGTGCTGTGAAATGTGTAAACCTGGCGATTCACAGACCTGTACCCCTGGGATAAAAATATATGTTTATAAAAATTAAAAATAAAAAATAAAAAACAAAAAACCTTTACTTCCCTGGTGGGTGGTCGGAAAGAACGCCTAGGACAGAAAAACAGCCAATGACAAAACTTTGTCTGGATACAGGTATTCCAGGTGAGGACTATTAACCTTAAAAATAAAGCCAGCAGTTACTCAAGCAGCAAAAATGGGCGGGTTCGGGATGCACGGAGAAGCACAAGTCAGGACACGCGGGTTATAGCCAACACTGCGGGCAGGCCCAACACAGAGAAGAGAAGGACATTATTTCACAGAGAAGGAGGAGGAAGTTGGAGGGGTTGTTCCGAACGCAAACGTGCTGGAGAAAGTCTGGAGTCCAGTATGATGACGGCTTCTCATTGGCTGGGTCCCAGGGGAGGCAGGTTTCTAACGGAAGGTGCAGAGGACATCTTCCCCTGTTGGGGCCTGTCCGTGGTGACTGTTTCTTGTGGAGGATTCTTTCTGTGACTGACAGTGAGTGGGATGGCTTCACTTTATTTTTTTTTTTAAAGATTATTTATTTTTAAGATTTTTTTAAAGATTGTATTTATTTATTCGATAGATAGACATCACAAGTAGGCAAAGAGACAGGTAGAGAGAGAGGGGGAAGCAGGGTCCCTGCTGAGCAGAGAGCCTGATGTGGGGCTCGATCCCAGGACCCTAAGATCATGACCTGAACTGAAGGCAGAGGCTTAACCCACTGAGCCACCCAGGAGCCCCGAAAATGATATGAATTTAAAACAAGACTTTCAAGTAACTAGATTACAGGAGGACAAACTAAGATTAAAAAAAAAACAAAAAACAAAAAAACCCCAAACAAACCACAAAAACAAAGCAT